TCACTGCAATGCATGTGGATTCCCATCTATACTTAGTCTTAAAAAAAATTGGTTGAATCCATCATAAATATTAAACATCGGAATATACTGGAAAGTTTCCCTGAAACAAAACTTCAAAAAATAATCTCCAAAAAAAAGATGTCAAGGCGTTTGGGAGAATTGACACTGGCATGTCATCAGATGTTGTCTTATAAAGCTAAATTAAGCATCTGACCAGAGTTTAATTTCTGTAAAAAATCATGCTAATTTAAATTGCTTTAGATTTAATTAAAAATGCTTTTCTAGAGAGATAATAATGTAACTCTGTTAATTAGTATCAAGTGGCATCTAGAGGGCATATTTAAAAACTAATCTGGAGAATAAATAGAGCTAATTAACAGTCAGAATAATGCTTTATGATTGTCTTTTGTTTATAAATGCTATAACGTTCAATATGCTATTAAATGAAATTGGTAATTAATGTATATCAAAGTTATTTTTTAATGTTCTTTTAACTAAAGAGTATGTCTTATGCACCATTTTTCAGACGATCTGGACACGTTTCATTTCTGGAGGGTGGGAGGAGAGGGTAAGGAGAACCGCTGTATGACATACCACATATGAATTCAATTAGGACCAGCTCATTCATCTCCCATAACACAGACCGTATGTGTTTATGAGCCCACGGGGGACATCCAGCGAGGCATCAGTTTGCATCTACTTGGTGCTCGCCAAAATGCACTGCTGACTGTAGCAATGGCCAGCGCAGGGAAGGTTTGCACTTTATGCCACGCACAACCCCAGGAGCAGCACTGTGGTGCTGTTTAGCGGGCAGAGAAGTGGCAGATTTTGCCTTCAAAATCTAAGCCTTGCAAAAGCAGAGACACGGTTCTGAGGAATGAGAACGGCTCCGAGGTTTGCTGTAGTATCTTTTAAAAGATCATGAGGTGCTCAAATACCTCAGGAATGAAGCTTGTAAAAGAAAGTGGTGCTAACAGTGAGGACGTGCTGCCATCCAATCCCACCACAAGAGTGGAGGAGATGGCTGGGCAATTGCAGGCAGTGGCAGATGAGCTTGGAAGAAAAAGGGCAGACCAGATTTGGCATAAGGCTCAGTTTCTACATGACTTTTTGTAGGCAAACATGAGCTCCTTCCGAGTCATCTGGACAAACGCAGCTCCTGAGCTCCCAGCTGGCTTTAAACAAGGTAGAGGGAATTTGTGCTTGTGTCTGGAAAAGGTTGTGTAGATGTTATCAGAGCTGACCATGGCCAAAGGGCTCAGAGAGCTGCCCTTGACCTCAAACAGAAGTTCCTGTTATCCTCCAATCTCTCCTATGATGACACGTTTGACTGGATTCACTAAATCAAATAAAATCATTGAAGTACTCTAAATGACATCATGCATGAAAAGCAGAGGGGACCAACTCTGTGTCCTTTAATGGTTAAAAATCAGAAATAACCCCTCAAAATACAATTAAAATAAAAAGCACTTTCATTTGGTAATCTGCACTACCCATGCTGTGCAATTTTTTGAAGCACCATCACATGCAGCACATGTCCTATTTGTATTTTTTTAATCCATAATTCTATGTATTCCTCCCTTTTTAATGCCTTGCTAACGTTGAAAAATCCTTTAGCTACCCAGAACAGAATCCATTTCAAAAAAGGAAAGCACCTCTTTTCTCATGACAAGGCTTCAGCATTACTTTGCAGAACAAACTTTCAGAATCAACTTTGAAGAGCGTACAAAGAAAAAAAGTAATTATCATTAACAAGATTAAAAGCTAGCCACAAGCCCGATAACTGCTGCTCTAACCTCTGTGAGATGACTTTCATGCCAGACATACACTTCCTTCTATAACAAGTCCATGTTCAGCAATAACAAGTTGAGATTATTTACATAGTGTAGATAGGTGTCAGCAGACACATACCGACAGCACCTGAGATCCCAAACACCACAAAAATGATCAAAGGAATTTGCCTGTGTACTATAAGTTGGACTAGCCTCAAGTGCAGACAAAAACACTGGAAGAAATACGAACATATGGTATAACACTTCCCAGCATGGCAAACAGCCATGGCAAACACTTTTGGAGGTAAAATTAGATTGGGGAAGCAAAGCTGGAGAAAAACAAAGCCAAGCATGAACTCTGAAAGCATTTCAGCTCAAGGTCATTGAAATACTCGCCATATAACGTCACCAGTGGTATCATTCTACCTTTTCTTTTCCGACAGATCTGCATAAGCCAAATAAACCCCAAGAAACACTCAGTTGCAGATAAAAATGAAAGTGCACTACAGTGGTTTGCAATATTTTTGATGCTGTTTATTCTGGAGACTAAAACAAGGCAGAAACTCAGAATAGCTATCAAAAATAATTGCCGGTTTCTCCAAAGTACAAAGTAAACAAACCCCAATATTTTTGTAAGCATGTAATCTGAAAAGAAGCATTTGCAACTTGTAAGGAAAAGTTTGTTATTTTTTTTTATATAAATCTCTCTCATTTTAAGGTCTCTAAGAAAACACTTAAAACCTGTTGCTTCCTGACTACATCTAGCCTGCACAAAGACTGTACAATTAATCAGCTCTGAAGGGTGCAGTGGGAAGGGAGATTTGTGGTAGAACATGGATTGTGACGAATGTTCCCCAGCTCTGTAACACTGCAAGAATTGTGAATGGTCTTTTTCAAAGTTCTAAGCTAAAAAAGATATTGTTAATTTTGTGAAGTTCAACATTTATCCTATAAAACTCACCTAACTCTGTATAGCTGGTGACTGAACTAGTCCAGTATGTAACACCAGCGACCTGCAGAGAGCTACACCTGGCCTGTCTACAAACAGGAACCATCTAGAATAGCACGACATCAGGTAACAAAAAATGTTAAGGGTTGGATGCAAAGTCCCATTCATGATGGTTAGACTCTGAGGCGCTCATTTTAAGCTCCTTTCAATTATACATAATATACTGATAATATGCTATGTAATATGTAGAAATAATAATAAAAATACTATATATCATTCTAAGCTCCTTCGTTGATCTCTCTGTTTTTAGGAGCTCACTAGAGAAGTCAGGAACAATTTGGAGTGAACAGATGCATCCAAATCAAGCCATTAGAAAACAGGTATCACTGCATCTACAGAGACCAGTGGCACGGCTATGTGACTAACTGCTAGCAATATTGAGCTACCCAGTCCGGTCCCACATGAAAACATTCATGAGCAAATCTTAGACTAACCAAAGAACATGGATTGAACTGGAGAGCTAGAGAATTCAAGTTCCTATAGAGGTAATTTCATGTAACTATCTACATTTTAAAATTTTACAATTACCATAACAGTTTCTTTTCTCTAATTTAAAAACAAAAAACCACCCCAAACGATAAACAACCCCCACCCCCCAAACAAAGTGTATCCCCAGTTTTTATTAGGAACTACTGCTGTAAAGCCTAGCAGGCCGGACAGCTGGGGAGGCAGATCCTGCACAGACAAAAGGAGAGCTCAAGCTGCCCCCTCTGTCTCGCAAGGCAGACGGGGAAGTGGTGGCATTGGTAAGGCTGGCCTCTGCTCCCGTGCACGGGGCGCTTAACCCACCCACAGCATAGCTGAAGATGGCGCAGAGATGCACAATGTGCTCTCGTACGTGGCTAAGGAAAGATAACTAATATAACGGACACCAAACTATTCAGAGAATTAGTATGAGATCCTAATTTGGGCTGACTTTTTCACTGCAGGTCTCCTCCTTGGTGTTCGCTTTAGAATGAAGGAGGAGCTGGTGAAAGTGGTGCGATCAAAAATATGAAGCCTGAGGTTTCCCTACGCACAGTGACTGCAGCCATGGAAGCATCCTTACAGCGATCCCTCACTGTCCTTCAACCCAGACCCAAGAGATAAAGTTGTTCAGTTTCCAAAGCTGGTTTTAAAGCTGCTTCACTGAGCCAGACAAACCACTTCCAGGGGAGTTTTTTTCTGCAGGGGAAATAACACATTGTGCAAGTTAAGAAACCCCTCAGATAGAAACTCCTGGCCATTATCTGCTTGGGGAAGATTCAAAGTAATAAAGACAGCGAAAGGCTTTATCTCCAAAATAAGCTTTCCCCAAGCATGAAGGGTAGTTAGGCAAAACTATTCTAAAATTTGAAGAGGTGTTTATTAAAACAGTGATTTAGTGAATAATCTTTTACCTAAAACTCTCAATCTCTCTGCTCCAACCACCACTTCGTTGTCATCTGCAGAAAACAGCAATTTTCCGGAGAGGGTTTTCACCTCAAATTTTTGGCTGTGTGCTTCCACTGCTTGGGGACCTAGAGGGAAGAAGAGATTTAGCACAACCTTTTAGTGAAAAGTGTAAGAAAATCACATAGTAGCTTCATACATTTAATAGGCCCATCTGCTGAGATTATCCTAAGAGCTCTGCAGATACAGCCTGCATCTGACACATCAAACAGGGAGGTCTGTGCTTTTCAGAGGGTGACCTCTTGTTAGAAAAGGGCACTGTTTTCTACCCAAATAACAACCCCTCAACTATTTCTACTTATGTTTTTGTTAATGCTTATGTATGTCATAAAATCACCATTAAACTTGGCATAGCTGGGAAACTTTTACAAAAACACAGAGCCACATGTGAAATAGCAATGAATATACCCAGCCATGCTTTGAGAGCATTGGTGTAGCTGTCAGAGGCATCAAGAGTTCCTCAGTACATTTTGCTTGGACTGATGCTGCAGTGTAAAAGATTCCTGGTTTTCTGCCTGTTAATGATACCTGGATTAAAATGGTATCAGTGCCATGCACAGTCCAATTTGTAAAAAAAAAAGACAAACACCACCACAGGAGCAAATGTTTTCTTTTAGACCATTTCAACCATGTGCAGGCCAAGACAAACGGCAGAGTCTCCCACGTTTCAGAAAGTTATTAGCGAGTAAAACTTTCCTTCGTAGCTCTTATTTCAATTCTGCTGCTTCTCCTGCAGCCTGCTGTGCACTGCAGTGCTGGAAAGCCTCTGGCAACGCGTTTTGTTGTGGATAAACAGCCTGATAAACATCAGCTGCCTGAATAGCAATTCTGTGCAGGTCTGTGGCTCAAAGACTATAAAGAGCAGACCCCTCCATTACCCGACCTAGGCTAAACTTTGGGCAAATCAGCATCTAACAGCCCTGTGCATCCCAGTCCAAGCCACAGCCTCCCTGGAATATGCTACTGCGCAAGGCAGGTGATCGGACTTCGCAATACTTCTGTCCATCTTCCTGACTAGTCCCATTTCTCAAAAGACAAGAGAAATAAGACCTGAAAGCCAGTTATTTTCTTATAGGCAGGTTCAAACTTAATCTATACGCAGTGTTTCCCTGCACAGGTCATCTGGATTGGCATCAGGGCACACAAAGAATTGCGTGCATGATTCGCTCTACAGAAAAGCGAGGCTATGCTGAGATCCCTGGAAACACTTAAAAATCTTGCAGCCATTCTGAGTAAATCCAGTGCTTTCAAGCTTTAAGTTTGATTTGTATCTTGCTAATTAACTGCCTCCCTACTCATCACTGCAGCACGCGCTACATGGGACCACGTCTTTGTTCCGCTCTGAAATCAAAGCTGCTGCCGAATGCAGAAACGAGCTCAATAACCAGAAGATCATGCCGGGAGACATCACTGACTGTGTCCTCCCAAGCTCTCGTGAAATGAAGGTGCTTAAGTGAACCAAATACCCTCTTGAAAATATATGGAGAACCAACGAACTAAACACACTCATTCTGAATGTGAGAATCAGGGAGCTTGGGGTTGAATTTATTTCCTCCCTCCAGGCAATTTTCCTGTGTACTGCTTAAATCATTGCTTACTGAAGCTGCATATTTAATTATTTAATACTGTGACTAGAGGCCAAGATGTTATATAAGCAAACCAAACAACCCAGTCTCACGTAGAAACAACATGTTTATGGATTACTGGCTCTGCCACAGCAATACTTCTCCCAGTCCCTAGATAAATCTCAATAAATAAATATCTATCCTATATCATATATATTATATATTAGAATATATAATGCATTAGGCTCTTTCAATCCAAATTACACATGCATTCATTCAAAGGTTGCCGTGCACTGGGGATTTATGAAACACTCATTTCCCCATCAAACACACTCATGCTTGGGAGCACGAGAGCATTCTTCATCAGCAGAAGGACAGAGAGATCTAAACTGCAAAGTGTCCCAACCCAGCCACAGCTCATCAGCGGAGTTCCCAAGCTCTCAGGCCAGTTAGAAGTGTCTCAGGAAAAGCCTGTGCCTGTTACAACAGAAATATCACCCTGCATATGTTCTTCTTGACCCTGAAGTCGTACAAGTAACCTTTCTGTCTCTGGATTGGCTTTCAAATGAAAACGATGGTCTGCTTCATTATCAGAAAGCACCAGCCAGCTACCTCTCCAGCACGGCTTTCATGTCTCTAGCTTTGTTTCTACAAAGTGGAGCGAAGTACTTCACAAGACGCCTGGGCTCCCCTCCTGCATGCTAAAGCCAACGCAGCATCCCACAACACACCCACTTTCATCCCTCCTTAATTCTGCCACGCAGCCTTTCCCCCTCCTTACCTGTTACAAGACGAGTAAGGACTTTAGTCTTCTCATTGAGGATGTTCACTGTCACATTTCTGGCAGACTGGAAGTACAGTGGATTGCCCTGGAACGAGACCACGAGAGCAAGCACGTGAGATGGGGACAGCTGCCCATGACCAGCCTGCTTGAGACACCCAGAGCTTTGCCTAATGCTGTTGGGCTGCTGTTAATGGCCCCGAGGTTGGGCGTGTGGTTGAGGTGCAGGCTACCCTGCATTAATTTTTATTTCCAGGATAAAACCATAGTCCACACCTCTGGCCCAGATAATGTCCCAGAGACTAGTCTTGTTTTAGGGATGGTTAGCTTTATTGACAGTATAAGCCAACCAACCTGCTATTTTAAAATGTGCAGGTGATAGGGGACCTGACCTAAGCTTCCTGAAGGTCATGGTGTTTTGGGAGGGTGGCTGACTGCAGCAGTGCATTTCAGAGTCAAATCTGCAATATTGCACACAGCTTCAGATGACTCCAATGGGTGACTGTGTCTGTGTACCACACGGCCACGTGAGTGAGCCGTGCCCAAGGGCTGTGAACGAGAAAACCTTGTTAACATGTAGAAAGTGCCTTTGATCTCAAAGCACTTATGAACCATCTGGCACCCGGCATGTACCACCACCATATTCCAGTCTGAGATGCCAGCTTGGGACCAGACCCATCCCATCGGGTCTGGAGATACACAAGACATGAAGTCCTCCCCACTCCCCACCTGACCACACAGATTTCTGCCCATTTTTCATTTTTATGCTTTAAATGTACCTCTGAGAGAAGAGTTAGAGCAGCTGTTAACACACAGGAGCCACACAGCTATCTGGCAGCATCCATCTCAGGTATTTCTCCCGCAGAGCGAAGCCAAAGAAAACCCACAGAGAAAACCATCTGGCTCCTTCTGTGTGCAAACGCATCCAAGACACCCGGGAACTCGTGTTTTCTACAGGCAGCCCCAGCCCACACAGCTGGTTTCTCAGGGGCTATTAGGCAACTAAGGCACTAGCACAGGGTGACCCCAACTTAAATCAGCCAAAAATCTACTAATGTGTGAGGTGGAAATTCACTGCCAGTATCTCTTCACGTCTAAAGCAGGCAGCTGATTAAATTAATCAACTGACTAAGCCATAGGATTGGTAGAGGGGATAAAACAGCAAGAAAATCAGCAAGGAGTTCCAAATTTTATGTCCATGTGCTTCCTATATCAAAGTCTCTTTCTAGTGTTTCAAAATCTTTCCATTAGGAATGAATAATCAGGATGGGGATGGAGGATCGTGTAGGTCAGGCATGTTCTCCTTGCCTCTTGAATTTATAAGGAACATAACTAATATTTGCATTGATGCCATTTTTCTGGATCATGGCAGAAGGACTAGGTTGTCTGCATATAAAACATAACAGGAGCACAGGAATGCACTCATGGGAGTCCTGTGATGGGCTGGAGCTTCAAGGAACACTTGTAGTGATGGGTAAATGATTCCCAGCAGTCTTTGCAGAAAACAAACCTCAGAAAACTAAAACAAAACACATGGGCTGGTTCACAATAATTACATTTGGTACCTTAAATATTTGTTCTGCATGCACTCATGGGATCAGCCCTTCAGCAAAAAAGGGGGAAATGAGATTTGTTTGATCAATTATAATTAGACCATTATGGCTACATTCAGACTATTTATAACTAAATAAAAATAATAAAAAGAAAGAATTCCACTTAATCATTTCCAGACCCTGGACAAGTTTCAGAAGCTCTTGGTGTCTTTGTGTCCTCATACACTTAATGAGGACAAATCATCCTTATATAGCTCTGTGATGTGTTTGACAGCTTAAGCAATATAGTATCTGAAACTGAAATACAATTAATAAGTTAGAAGTAAGGAGCAGTGGTAATGACTGGTAATGATTTTGCTCTTTTTTATTCATTTTTATTTGTGTTCTTCTAGAACCTAGAAATTAATGTTGATTACTATTTTACGGTTAATAGCACAGAAAAAAAGATGGCTTCACTTGAATACCCACTTGCTGTGGTATTAATTCTCTGCAGCCCTGATCAGGGACCTAATGTGAACACCCCCAGCGATAGCAGTTTACTGCTACATTTTCATTTCACACTTACAGATGAAGGATATTTTAAAAGAAAGATAGATACAATCTGCATAATCTATAGTCATAGGTGAGACTATAACCACTATAAACATGCCATATCAAGCACAGAAAAGTCACATTTTTGACTTTCACTATTTGACTTTTGTTTATGGAGTTATACAAGTAGCTAGAGTGTTTGGAAAAGGCCAGGAAACCTTCTAGTCCAAAATGCAGGTAGGAAAAATCATTCAATCCCCATGGCTTTGAAACTCTTAACAGGAGATTGCACTACGGAAGTACTATAAGATAAGCCAAGTGGTTAACATAAAAAGAGTCACAGAAAAAGTTGCTCCAAAGAAGTCTTACAAGACAAGCTAAGAGCTGGTATCCACCTACGAAAGACTTAAAATACATAATCAGATCTTGAAACGCTTACCCCAGCATAGTCATCTCGTTCACTGATTCAGAGCTCAGATTCATGCAGCCTTCAAAAATCTAAATTTCCCTAATGGAAGAGTTGTTTCTATTGGTCTGCAGGGAAGGAACATTTCAAGCACTTAATGCAATGCCCGCTCTCATTTCCATAATTCTTCTTCCATTAAGAAATGAAAAAGAGCTGAAAAAATTACTCCCTTTTGCTGAAAATTCTGCAGATTTTCTGTCCGTCATCTTCTGTTTACAAAGGTAACAACACCGACATCTTTTACACACTGAACATTTAAAAAATGTTTCCTCTGTTGCAAGCTTGGTGATGATGCTAGCTTCCTTCAATCACACAGAACAAAAATAATTAAAGCATTAAAGAATTCTTAAAACAGCTAGAAATTGTAACTGAAAAGGCGAAACCCTTCACTTCTCTTACACTTTCACATTATGACACAAAATTAAGTATTCTGATGCACAGGAGCAAATGGAAATCTAGATCAATGTGCCATCGTCACCACAATAAAAATAATTACATAGTGAAATAGTATTCTCACAAGCTGTCATAACACTTGATAGACCTGGAGTTAGACTATCAGCATGCAATAAATAAGCACGTCTGACTCTAATTATAACACTGTAAGTATGAGACACACCACATTTCTGAAGTATAATATGCAACAATCTAGTTCTGAATCTTTCCAGATAAATAACATTAAAGAAATAAATATATTTTACTCTTGGACTTGATGCAAAGAAAACTGAAGTGAACAGAAAACTGGCTTAAGTATTCTTCCGGGTTCAGAAAAGTAGAGAAAATAATCTTTTTCTCTTTGTCTACCTGTTTTTCTCCAAAAGGTTCTACCCAATTCTTCAGAAAAGCACATTTAAGATAGAATACATCTCATATCGACGATCACACAATAACCCTACATATTTCACTGCCCGCATGCTATCTGATGTACTGAGAAATCTCATTCTCTGTCATTTGTTCTTCTTCCTCTCATCACAAACAGGACAACGTTTCCCTGCACGTCTCTTTGCAGGAGTAGACGCTGCTCCCAGCCCACATGCTGCCACTGACTTGCTCTTTATGCCCAGACTCGGCTGTTACCACTTTAACCTCTTTACAACAACCCTCTATTAACTGTGTTGTGTTAGCAGAGTTCCAGTTCACGTCCATCTTAGCCATCCCACTGCACTGCACTGAACTACAGCCTTTGATTTAACTTCCTATGCAACTTTGCAAATTAAATCAGCGGTCACCTCCTTTCCGACACTATTTTATGTTATTGTTTCTTTCCAGTGGTTCCTTTGATCATTTGGCTGGAGAAACTGAGGTAGAGACATCGATGGGAGTAGGATGCATTTTTTTCCCCTTCTGCATGTTTTCCTGTTTGCTTCTGACTTATTTCAAGCGTTTTCCTTGCAGGACACCGATGGAGGATCCCACCATGCTCTGGGCTGCAGCTCCATTTCTGGGGACAGGTGAGGCTGGGATCTTTTAAGGACTCTTTGGGCTGGTTAACTACTTCCAGCCCACCATGAATCTATTATTCACCTCTGCAGGAAATCCTGCATAATAAATACATCATTCTGCCTCTTACTCCAGCCTCTCATTAGCAGACTCAATGACTTAACAATAACGTAAATGTTTGTAGACACACAAAAGAAGTTGCCACAGCTACTCAATATATTAAAACGTTGGACACATGCTGCAGAATAAAGAATGTGAAAAGTACAAAAATACATCAAAACAGTATAGCTTGTTTCCTCACTAAGCAGTGAGGTATCCAGTAAAATATAGAAGACTTTGCAAAAGGTATCGACTGATTGTTTGCTAGGTTAAATACATGGCAAAACAAGCCCTAACAGGTCCCTAGCTGTCTGTCTTTGGCTCACTTTGGAAGAGATGCTAAAAACTCCTAGATGGGATACTAAAACAGGAAAAGCACTTTGACTCACAACCTTAATTTGCAGCTGAAGCAATCCCAACCAGTGCTGTCTTTAAGGAAATTCAATACTTCAACAGATGTCCTTAGACTGTTTTAGGGAATTATTAAAAATATTTGGAAATCCTTTTAAATTTTAACAGGCAATTTTAAAATAATGCATCACAGTCAGTGTGTTTGTAATTTGGATGGTCAAAAGGAGTTGCTTTGATTTGATCCTGTGGATTCAAAGACTTCACAAAGTGAGTGCAAGTGAGGCTTGTGGAAATAATGGAAATGGTGAATTGCCTGCAGGCTTGACAAAGGAATGGGAAAAATTAAAATATTAAAGCATAATCCAGGTTGGCAAGGAGCAGTCTATGGAAAAGCCACTCAGAGCACCATTTTCCTGCTCAACTGTACCTCTCACTGACATTACAGAAAGCAAACACTGCTCTATACACAGCTGGACTGTCAGAGGGCAAAAGATCATTTTCTGTAAAGCAAGCAGCCAGCCCCACTATGTGAGCAAAAGCTCTCCTTCACCTGGCCTACAGCCACAAGCAGCACATTCATTTGCCTGCACCCTTGAGTGCTGTTTTAAGGAGCTGCTGATAGAGGGGAAGTATTCATGTGGGTTATAACAA